TCCCGGCCCCTGGTTTTAAACGTTGGGGCCCATTCTGCCCTTTTTGCCCCCGCCCCCAACCTTGAGCCCCCTCCCCGGGGGGCGGGGGGTTTTCCCCCGCCCTCCGCCCCATGGGGGCCCGGTGGCCCTCCCCCCCGAAACCCTTGGGTTTTTTAAAGGTTGGGACCCCCCCCCCCTCGGGCCGGGAAAAGTGGGTCCCCGGGCCGGGCCTTCCTTTGGGGGTTCCGTCCGGGCTTTAAAAAGGGTTAAATTCCTAATTTTGCGGGGGACCTGGGGGAAAAAGGGGATAGGGAAGTTTCCTTTTCAAAATTTAAAAAGTTTTTTTGCCCCTTTAACATTTTAACGAATTCCCCAGGGTTCGGGGCCCGTTTAAACCCTGGTGTTTGAAACCCCAGAAAAACCTTAAATCTTAAAATTTTTTTGGGGGGGGCCCCCTTTTATTTTTGTTTGTGTGTGAAAAAAATTGGGTTGGACAAAACTTGGTGTTTGGACCCACATGGGGCCTTGAAAGCAAAAAGGACCGGGGTTTTGTCCCCCGGAAAGGGGGGAAAAGAAATTTTGGCACATCGTTTTTGGGGCGCCTTTTCCCCCCCCCTTTTCCCTCCCCCCGCCCTTTTCCCCAAGCCCCCCTTTGCCCGTCCCAAAAAAACGAGTCGCCCCCCGGAAAAATTCCCCGGTGTTTGGGGGGGCACGGGGAGGCGGGTGCCCTTTCATTTTCCCAGGAGCGTAAATTGTCACCCACTTTCTCAACCCCTGCCCAGGTCCTCCCCCCCTTTTTAAAAAAGAAAACCAATAAAGGAAAACAACCGTGTACAGACCCTAAAGAAAACGCCAACCCGGTGTGTGCCACTTTTAACCCCCCCCGGAAACATAACCACACCCCCCCCGGCCCGTCACTAAAGGGAACAGTCCAGAAAAAACGGCCCAAAGTCGGCGGGTCTCTGGGGGTGCTACGGCTGATGGGGGTCATTTTATGAGGTGGACGGGGGGGGGGTTTGGGGTTGCGAAATTCCCAGAGCATGTGCTAGACCCCAAATTCAGAGAGCTGCTGTCCTCCCGTCAAGCCTGATTTTTTTAAGGGAAAGGGAAATTTAAATGATATGGGGGGCTATTCACAGCTTTCCTTTGTTTTTTAATAGTTCCTACATGACAAATGTTAGAACAGACCTTAAAATGGGGAAACGTTTGCACCTATAAAGAAAATGTTTAATCGGTCAAGGGCCTAAAAGAAAGTAATGGGAAATTTGAGGTGGTTTATTTCCGGGAGAAAAACCTGGCTATGCCAAGTTCAACCCTTTGGGATTTCTCCTTGCATTTTTTCCCCCCCCTTATGGGCCTCCGTTTATGTACACATCGGAAGGAAATGCTGTCACAGTCCCCGGGACCTTTCCCTTTCCCGACGGGGAAGACTGTTTTGAAAACTTTTTGGTGCGGGCAAATTTTGGGGAAAAACAGATTTCTAAAAAGGTTCGGGGGCCGGGGGGGGCCTTTAACCCCCACGGCCCCCCCGCCCATCTCTGCCTGTTTTTTTGGCCCAGATTCAATTTCCCCCAATATGTTTGTAAGGGGTTTTTTGGGTGAGGCAACCCGCACCACCACTTTCCCAACCCCTTTTTTAAACCCAAGATTGGGGAGCTCCCTTAAATTGTAGTGTTTCCCTTTGATACCCGGGTAATTATTTAAAACTGAAGGTGGTTCTGACCCATGTTAACACCTAAGGGTTTTTTTGTGAAGTCTAGAAACCCAAATTTCTTAACCCTGAATTTAGCAAATGGGGTTTTGGGAAAAGGGCCCTTTTTATTATCGGGGTAAACAGGTGGGCCCGGGGGGTCGGTGCGCCCCCCTTAGACCAAAGGTCTGGGCCTAAAACGCTTTTCCCGCCCCTACCACCAGAAGAGAGACCCGGTTTTTAGGGGTTGGGTTTGGGTACTACCGTATTTTTTGTTAAAAATTTCTCTTTCGGTGTTGCCCTTAACGGATTTGCTCAGTCCGGCGAGAAAATTTTTTATGGTCGAAGATTTTTGTACTGCTTTCAACAATGCTAAAGCAATTATGTAGTACTCCCGGTTTTTTGCTGCGCCGATTTTTTTAAAAGCCCTTTAAAATGGAGGGAGAAAGCAAGTGCCAAGGTTTTGGGGGCTGTTTTACTGCCCGCCGGGGCCAGAGTGGGGGGACCATCCCCTCTGTTTTTTTTTCACAAATTTAACAAATGTCAACAAAATATTTCCCCCATTTAACAAGAAGCTCTAGCTTTTTTGTTTGCTCTTTTCCCGTACTTTGAAGTTTTTTGGGGGGGGGGTTTGGTTTTCCCGTGCATTACCCTGAAATGTATACTGACCAAACCCCTTAGTTTTTTTTTCCACCGGATGTAAAAACCAGAAAACCAAAGCCTTATGCGTTGGGAATTTTCGTTCAAAAAATTTTAATTTTTGGGATCCGCCACAAAAAGGGGTTTGGGTAATGTGTTGGCCCGACTTTGGGTTTTGTGGGGGAATGATCAGGGTTTTTTTTTGGGTTTCCCGGCCGGGTGATTTGTGAAATTTTTGGGGTTTTTGTAGTGTGTGGGCCCAAACCCCTTTTGGTTTTTCTCTTTTAAGGGGGGGATTTTTACGGATACAGGTATCCGGGGTTCCTGTTTTTTTCTCTCCTTCTGCCCTAATCACAGGGGTCCTGTTGTTTTCCCGATTGGGGTCGTTGGGTGTCGCGGGTTTGGCCAATCAGTGAACTTCCCGTGCCTTTTTCAAACCCCCTTTTTACTCTTTTTTCAATCCACATCCCATTTATAAAAACCAGTCACTTGTGGGTTTTTTTGAGAGAGAGAGAAAAATTTTTCCTTAGTGATTTTGGACACTGTGGTGTCCCCGTTTTTGTTTTTTTTCCCCAAAAAGGGTGGTTACTTGGTTGGTAATTTTTTTTTAGATTACTTTTTTTTTATTGAGGAATGGGGAAATGATGTCCTGTTTTAGGTACTATTTATTTGCTGGCTACTCTGGGTTTTGGACTTTGTGTGGTTCTGGGAAAAGGGGAAGTTTTAACAAGCTGCCCTTGGGCATAAAATTTCCCGGGAGAAAGAAAAAAATTAAAAACACAGTTAACCTGACGGACCCCCCCCTGTACTTTTTTTGGTTTGCAGTAGCCAGCGGTTCTTTAGGAAAGGGAAGATCATTTTAGGGGGTTTTACAATTGTTTTTTTTCTTGGGTCCTGCTCAGCCCTTTTTTTCCCCAAAAAAAGTTACCGTGTGTTCAAAATAAAAAAATTAAATACGGTGTTTTATGGTTTTTTTGTCCCTATTTTTTTCACTGTTTTCCCTGGGCCCCACTTTTAATTTTTCATGAATTATGTTCCCGGGGCCAAAGCCAACACCCTAGACGTTCAAAGCCACGGGTTTGGAACAAGAGAGGGGAGAAGAAAGGGCACTTTGGTTAACGTCGGCCCGAGAGGATAGTGGGGTGGGGTGTTTTAACAAGGGGTATAGGGTGTTTGGGGAATGGGGTGAGAAGAGACTCACAGTATCCCCCGGCCCCGTAGGGGTATGGGGGGGCAGGCGATGGTTCCCTTTTAAAGCCAGGTGTTGATGGGGGGCGGGGGGAGTGACCAGCACCAGAAACCCAAATTTTACAACACACAAAATCATGGGGAAAAAAAAAAAAAAACACTGTTTCTTTAGCAGAGTAAACAGGAACACAAGTTATAATTTGGGTTTCAGGGGAATTAAAATGACCTATGATTGGTTTTTGGGGGGTTACTGTTTTACCCGAGTTTTTCCAAAAAACCCCGTTTTCCCGGAGAGCTACCCTCCCGTAGGTTTTCATTCCAAACCCCCGTTGTTAAAAAAAACCTGATTTAGCTGATTAAAATGTTAAATTTTTAGAAATTTAAATGTGCTAGATTTTGGGTTGGGTGAAACCTTGAAAGGGCGGTGCTCTCCAGGAACAGGGTTTGGGGAGCCCTTTCCTTTTAAATCTTTTCCCCTGTTGGCTCACTTACAAAAGGTGCTTGTGTGTGTGGGGTGTGTGTGTGTTGTAAAACCAAAACCCGGGACATGGCGTTTTGGGAATGGGTCTTTGGGGTGGCAAAGTGGTCGGGGTCATGGGAAAAAAATGATGGCTACAGGCCAAAATGGTATGATTGGGAAAGGAACCCCCCCTTCCCCGGCTAATCCAGATTTGTACTCCATTTTTCGCTCCGGAAAAACACGCTACACAAGTGTTTTGGGGGTGTTGGGTGTGTGAGTGTGGGGGTGGGCGCGTTAATTTAGAATTTATCCCTACTCAATGTAAACTGATGTGAAATGGGTACTAGTGTCTGGTTTAGGGGCGGGAGAAAACGGAGGAACACTGTTACCCTTGGGGTGGTTTTGTGCGGGAGTTTTTCTGTGTTATGCGGGGCGAAATTTTTATATGGGTGGGTGGTTGTTTTTCAGAGATTGGGTTTTGTGGTGTGTGATGTAGGGGTTTCTTTTGGGTTTACCCCCCACCCTCACATCTGTAAAGTTTAAATTTTTCCATTGGGCCAGAGGATGATTGGGCAGAACTTTGAAGACGGCCCTTTACAGGGGGAAATGGAACATCCCAACTTCAGCAGGAACAGACTCCGTCTAAGGGAAAAAAAGGGGGAAAAAAAAATTCTATCAACATATTTTTAACACAGAATTATATTTATGTATAATCCATTTTTACATATTTGTACGATTTTGTAGTAAGTCGTGAACTCTTTACTCAGTCCTATAGGGTGCAATGACCAGGAGGGGGCATATTTGGGGTTTATAAGTTTTCTGATGGAGACGTGTAGGGGCCATACAGAGAGAGGGGGAGGGGCCCATTCAGAGAGAGGGGGAGTGGCCAGGAGTAGATCTACCTGCCAGGCCTGAATCAATACAGATATTTTTTTATACTAAAACTAGTAGCCCGGACTCTGACGAACCCAGGAAATGGGTCTTGTTATGAAATACATTTGATCCTGAACAGGTGTGTGTGTGTGTTGTGTGTGTGGTGTTTACCGTTGTGATGTTAACATGGGGTAGACAGGGGCAGCAGCAGCAGCAGGGACCAGTACTGATCTTTAGTTTGTTCTTCCCTGCTCGCCGTAGAAACGCCTCGTCACCCCCCACTTCCTCGATCATTAAGCACCAGGAACTTAAACACTACGATCGCAAAGTAGCTGCGGAGACAAACGTGTTACACGCGCCAAGAACACCAAGGAGGAAGGATGAAGATAGACAGAGGGAGAGATGAGTTTGGAAAGATCTACACAGACTATTGTAAATGTGTCTTTAGTAGCTGTATGTTTTGCTGACACAGTGTACGTCTTCCTGCTCTCTACAGGGTTTCCCGCCTGTCACAGAAGGGGTCTGAGATGAAGAGGAACCAGATCCACACGGAGAGATTGAAGGTAGAGGAGAGGAAAGAGGATAGGATGGAGAGAGACAGACAATATGTAGAGAAATGAAAGACATGGAGAGAAAGGAAATAGAAAAGGAGGGAGGGATGGATGAGTGACGTACCAGGGAGGTCATGTCAGTAAACATGGTGGCTCGGGAACCACATCCCCAGACAGGACATGGTGCCGATCACCTGACACACACAGACATTCAGCAGAGACATACAGCCTTAGTTTGGATCCTTAACAATGCAGTCTTCCTAACCATGCTACTGCCCTAGCATTTCCTAGTAAACTGACCGGATTGGTCATAACTCAAGTTTTTATTTTGTTCCTGGCCGCATGCATTTCTACTGTAGGGGATACAGCAGTAGTACTAGTAAGTACCAGATCGAAGGCTGCCTTCATGTGTTCTTACCGGCGCTGCCCCATTGACCCAGATGATGGCACTCTTCTTGTGGGAGGGAACCTTCCGGTAGATGTACCAACACTCCTCTATGTAGACCAGCATGGAAACCGTTGCCATGAAGGTCAGAACTGAGTACAGGATGATACCAAAGATGTCCAACTCTAAGGACAGAGAGAGCGAGAGAGAGGGGGGGGGGGACGAGACAGAGAAGAGAGAGAGGAGGAGAGACAGAGACAGTTCAAATCTATAAGACTATAGGGTAAGTTTCAAAAGTCTAAAGTGCTTCCTCTCCTGGTGTCCCCTCCCTTCACCTGCATGATGTGATAAAAGAAAACAGATGATGAAGCAATAAGTAAACTAAGGGCCAGTGAGGGACAATAAGAACCCCCTTTGTTCTCTGGAACTCATTTCTGACCTCCCAGTTCTGAAAAACTGTAATGAAAAGATGACTGTTTTATTTTCTGGAAAGCGTGGTGTTTATGGGAAAACAAGACAACAAAAAGTAGTGAACAGGAAATCAAAAACAGCACCAATCCCTCTGTCAAAACAGAGTAACTAAACTCACTGTGACGAGTACTGAGGATACGAAGGTTTACTTAACACTTGAGCAAGAGAACAACAAAGAGCGAGTACACGACAAAACACTAACAATCACACACAACACTGAACAGTCCAGGGCTATATAGGGGTGGTCATGAGATGATGAGGTGCAGGTGCGCTGGAGGTGATTAGGGTGCGTGGGTTTCCATTCCGGTGTTGCCGATGTGGTGTCGCTCCGACCGGTGGCTCGAGCTGGCGAGATCAGGGCGCGGGAGGGGGAGCAACGGGAGAGACGTTGACACTCACAAAAACGCCGCACGCACACCAATTAACGAAGAATAAGCTGACACATAACACAAATACACTTACAATATACACTTTTAAATCAGCAAAAAAATATAATCGTAAAATCCAAATAACTTCACAGATCTTAATTGTAAAGGGTTTTAAAACACTGTTTTCCATGCTTGTTCAATGAACCATAAAACAATTAATGAACATGCACCTGTGGAACGGTCGTTAAGACACTAACAGCTTACAGACGGTAGGCAATTAAGGTCACAGTTATGAAAACTTAGAACACTAAAGAGGCCTTTCTACTGACTCTGAAAAAACACCAAAAGAAAGATGCCCAGGGTCCCTGCTCATCTGCGTGAACGTGCCTAGGCATGCTGCAAGGAGGCATGAGGACTGTAGATTGTGGCCAGGGAAATAAATTGCAATGTCCGTACTGTGAGACGCCTAAGACAGCGCTACAGGGAGACAGGACGGACAGCTGATCGTCCTCGGCAGTGGCAGACCACATGTAACAACACCTGCAACAGGATCGGTACATCCGAAACATCACACTGTGGAACAGGTACAGGATGGCAACAACAACTGCCCGAGTTACACCAGGAACGCACAATCCCTCCATCAATGCTCAGATTGTCCGCAATAGGTTGAGAGAGGCTGGACTGAGGGTATGTAGGCGTTGTAAGGCAGGTCCTCACAGACATCACCGGCAAATATGTCGCCTATGGGCACAAACCCACCGTCGCTGGACCAGACAGGACTGGCAAAAAGTGCTCTTCACTGACGAGTTGCGGTTTTTGCTCACCAGGGGTGTGTGGTCGGATTCGCGTTTATCATGGAAGGAATGAGCGTTACACCAAACCTGTACTCTGGCGCGGGATCGATTTGGAGGTGGAGGGTCCATCATGGTCTGGGGCGGCTGTGTCACAGCATCATCGGACTGAGCTTGTTGTCATTGCAGGCAATCTCACGCTGTGCGTTACAGGGAAGACATCCTCCTCCCTCATGTGTACCCTTCCTGCAGGCTCATCCTGACATGACCCTCCAGCATGACAATGCGACCAGCCATACTGCTTGTTCTGTGCGTGATTTCCTGCAAGACAGGATGTCAGTGTTCTGCCATGGTCAGTGAAGACCGTATCTCAATCCCATTGAGCACATCTGGGACCTGTTGGATCGGAGGGTGAGGGCTAGGGCCATTCCCCCCAGAAATGTCTGGGAACTTGCAGGTGCCTTGGTGGAAGAGTGAGTAAATCTCACAGCAAGAACTGGCAATCTGGTGCAGTCCATGAGGAGCGATGCACTGCAGTACTTAATGCAGCTGGTGGCCACACCAGATACTGACTGTTACTTTTGATTTTGACCCCCCTCCCCCCCTTTGTTCAGGACACATTATTCAATTTCTGTTAGTCACATGTCTGTGGAACGCAGGTGACAGTGAGAGAGACGTTTCTTCTTTGCTGAGTTTATATTTGTATTTGTATTTATTATGGTTCCCCATTAGCCAAGGCTGCAGGTACTCTTCCTGGGGTCCAGCAACATTAAGGGCTTCCGAGTGGCACAGCGGTCTAAGGCTGCATCTCAGTGCTTGAGGCGTCCTACAGACCCCTGGTTGGATTCCAGGCTGTATCACAACCGGCCGTGATTGGGAGTCCCATAGGGTGGTGCACAATTGGCCCAGCGTCGTCCGGGTTTGGCCGGTGTAGGCCGTCATTGTAAATAAGTATTTGTTCTTAACTGACTTGCCTAGTTAAATAAATAAAAATAAGGCAGTTATACATTTTAAAAACATTACAATACATACATAACATATTAAGTGTGTGCCCTCAAGCCCCTACTCCACTACCACATATCTATACAACAAAATCCATGTGTACATGTGTGTATAGTGCGTATGTTGGTATGCATGTGTCCATGTTTTGTGTTGCTTCACAGTCCCCACTGTTCCATAAAGTGTTTTTTTTCTGTTTTTTTAATCTACTTTTACTGCAGGCATGAGTTACTTGATGTTTGCACACCGAAGAATTTCTGCACAAACTGTCAAACTCTCAGGGAAGCTCATCTGCGTGCTCGTCGTCCTCACCAGGGTTCTTGACCTGGACTGCCGTTGGGCGTCGTAAACGACTTCAGTGGCAAATGCTCACCTTGAATGGCCACTGGCACCCTTAGAGAACTTAGGGTGCCTTCGGGATGAATCCCGGTTTCAGCTGTACTGGGCAGAGGGCGACAGCGTGTTTGGGCGTGTGGGGCGAGCATTTTGCGATGTCAATGTTGTAAACAGAGTGGGGGGGGGTGGGGTTTTTAGGTAGGGGGAGGCAGGCAAAAAGTCGAAAAACAACACTTCATTTTATCAATGGCAATTTTAAAGGGACCGAGATCCCGTGCAATCCCTGGGGCCCTTTGGCGGGTCAATGCAGGTATTTTGGTAGCCTTTTGTTTTAGCTATTTGGGTTTTTGGGCCTTCCTCTGACCCGTGATAAAAGGGCCCCTGGATGGCAGGGAGTTCCGATCTAGGATTTTTACGGGGTGTAGCACTTCTCTCGGGAAGCGCTTGCAGCCCAATGCCAAGCAGTTGCGACCAAGTGGTGGTCAGCCAGTCAAGATGTCTAAATGGGGTTGTGGAATTTTTGAGGATCTGAGGGCCCTGAAATCTTTTCATCCTCCTGAGGGGAAAGGCGCGTCGTGCCCTTTTAAAACTGTGTGGGTGTGGGGGGATCATGTTAATTCCTTAGGGGGGGAAAAAAGGGGGTCCTTTCCCCTGATTTCTGGGAGGCATTTTGGTTTGTGAAGGGGGAGAAAAAACCCCATAAGGACGTATTAGAGAAGAGAGAGGAGAGGGGGGGGGAGGATTGTAGGGCCTTTGTTTCAGTTCACTCCGGGATTACAGAGGGTTTTTTTTTTAATGAGGGTCTTTAAAATTTGTTGTTTTCAGATCTACGTCGCTTACCCCACTTAGCTTACGTAATTAAACTTAGGGGGGAAAAAAATCACCCTCCTTTCCAACTCCCACCAAATCAAATAAAAACCTTCAGAATCAGGTTTTTCCAAGTGATGCGAGCGGGGTATGATGTGGGCTTTTTGACATGTGGCAAACATTAAAAGGGGGGATTAAAAAACCGCAGCTATGCCTCCTGCTTTGGTCAACCCCCTTTTTTTGCCCAAAACAGTCAATCCCCCGAAGAGTTCCCTCGCATCCATTTTTACTTTTCCCTACTGTCCCCGGGCTTGCTGTGGAGGGAAATCTTTGCGGAAAATCCTTAGGTTGAAAGTGGGGCCTTCAACCGGGTGGACATATCTAGATCCCAGTGTTGGCCCCCCCGGGTAAATATGTGAGGGAACCCCAAAAAAACATTGTTTGGGTTTTAACCATTCTCGACCATCTAAAACCTCTAAACACAAAAAAACGTTTTTTGTGTGGTGCACTGTTCATTTCCCAACAGAAGCATATTGATTTTTCTCTTTCTTGGAAAAATGGATTGCAGTTGACTGAAAACCGTGGTTGCCGTATGCATATAAATTTTTACACGTAAAGACCATGCCTTATTACCTTTTATCCAACAAAGGGGTGAAAAACAAAAGCCAGGGAAGGGGCTTTCCCTTTGGCTGTTATAAAAAACAGATTAAAATACTGTTCCCTTTTCACTAAGTGGAGGAAAAATAAGCAAATTTGCGACGGGGATTTCTAAAAAATTTTTTGGATAAAAGGGATTATTATTCTTTAAAAAATTTTTCTCTCCCAAATCCACAGTCCAAAAGGGACGAAGTATTATGCAGCTAAATCTGTAACTATAACCAGGTTTTTCCCCGCCTTTCAAAACTGACAAGTAAATGTAAAACCGGGGCATAAATTTTAAAAACTGTTAACCCCTTTTAACCCGGCGCCACGCTCCTTTCTCCTTAAATTTCCCCTGTAACACACTTTTTGGATATTTTCACAAAAACGTTTTGTGGAAGTTCTCAAAAAGTTGAATTTTTAAAAGTTTTAGTTTTCCCCTGAAATTATTTTTTTTTTTATATTTCAAGTGGAAACCTTAAATAAATAATCCCTTTTTAAAAGACATTTTGATAATTTTTGAGTAAAAAAGTAATATGTTTTGGGTGAGTGTGTTGGGTGCAAACCCCCCCCCCCCCTTACTAGGGGTAAATGCCCGGTGGGTAGTTACCCCCTTTAGGTTATAATTGTTTTTACCAGTCCTTTAGACAAAGACTAGCCCAGTTGTGCTAGTTTATGCTAATTTCTATAGCTACTTCACTCAGTAAAAATACCAGCTAGCTGTTGCAAGCGGGTAGGGGGCTAGCTAGCAAACCTTACTCCAATTGTTTGATGTAAAATACATTTAAAAATATTAAAAATAAATTTCAGTTTTGTTTAATCCCCGGTTTCAAAAATTTGGGAAAAACCCCTTTTTTTTTAAGGTATTTTTTAAAACTTTTAATTTTGGGCCTTTGGGGGGGGGTTTTTTAAAGGGGGCTATTTTTTT